GAGGTTTCAGAGGAGAAGAACATTCACATGTGTCCTAGAGGTTGTTCTTGTGATATTTTGCTGAAGAACAACTTGGCCGCTCTTTGCTCTTTTCCAAAGAGTCTTCCTGAGGCTAAACTAAAGAGATTTGGATTAATTCCATTTTAGGGGAAATCTCAAAACAGCCTAGTATGGACTCTGTTGTGTGATTATTAGTGATCATTTCCATGCAGATCTACCATGAAAAGGAGCAAGCTGAGCAAATAAAAATACAAATTGTATTAAGAAATGGAATAAAGAGCCTGGTGACCTCAGGGAAAGATCCCACCCAGTTGAATTCCAACTTGTGAAATGAATTAAAGAAAAGCTTAGAGCGGGATGTGGTAGTGCATGTCTTTAATCCCAGCACTCCAGAGTCAGAGGAAGGCAGATCTCTGAGTCTGAGGCCAGCCTGGTCTACAGTTCCAGTTTCAGGACAGCCAAGCTCAGGCAGTGAAGGTAACAATCAAAAGCAGATAGCTGGTGAAGAAGGAATTAACGAGGGGACCACATTCCAAGCCAAGCAAGCAGCAGAACTTGGGAGCTTCAGCCCTGAGGTTCTGGCTTTAAAGTCAAGGATCCAAGAGAGGGGTCATGGAATTTGGCTCTGCATGTAAGGAAAGCTGGTCCTCTGCAAGAGCAGCAAGTCCTGTTAACTACTGAGTCATCTCTCCAGTCCTAAGAGTTCTTTAAAGATCCTGGCCCTTATCTAATGCTTTGCAAGCATTTTCTCCCCTTCTACAGTTTATCCTTTCTTTCCCTGACAGTGCCCTTTGATTCAGAAAATACGCTAATTTAGTGACTATCTACTCATCCATTGTATTAGTGGTGGATGTTTCAGTACTGTCAACCCAAAGACATTAGAATTACTTCCAACGATGTTTGCGGTTAAAAGTAGTATTGATCCTAGCTGGGAGGCACATGTCTTTAATCCAATATTCTGAAGGCAGAGAGAGGTGGATCTCTGTGAGTTCAAGGCCAGCCTGGTCTACATGGTGAGATTGTCTTTAAGAAGAAAAAAAAAAAGTATCTCTTCAGGTTATTTAAGACAATAATTTAATTTATTTCTGAAAGTTTAAATTAACAGAAAATCTGTGACAAAACCCCAACATTTTAAACAAAGAATGATCTGCCTCTGCACCCTTCCTGCTCCCTCAACTCAAACACACTGGCTAGAAACTTTCTCACAGAAGAGGGGGGACTGAATTGTACTCCAAGCCCCGGAAAAGGGAGGGGCACTGTCCCAGGGGAACAGCAGAGGAGTGATGGGTGAACCTTGTCAGTGAGGGATTATCCAAAAACTGAGCTGTGAGCACCTGAGGCTGCAACTGCCTGAGGAGGGCTGCCTAGAACTTGCTAGGGGCAGGTCCGCAATGCTGTTAGGCATTATAAGCAAGTAATGAAACAACTCTAGGCAGGAGGATCGCAAGTTCAAAGTCCACCTAAGGTAAGAAGCTGATCTCAGACTAGCTCAGGCAATTTAGTGAGAACCTAACTCAAAACTGGGGGAGGGGAAGATGGGGGGAGGGTAGTATCTCAATGGTACAGCTCTTGACTACGGTGCCTGAGGCTCCAGGCACTGGACCAGGGCTCCCATGCCTCCTGAGGGCCCTCTGGCCTAGTGAAGGAGGCTCAGGCTGGGAGAGGCTGGACCGTGGGCACCCTTGTCATCAGATGGCAAGGTGAACATTTAAGTTCTTTCCTGAGCTGGGCACCCCTAGCAAGGTGGGGTTTGGTAGCAGGGGCAGCAGTAGCTAGCCACCAGACTAGTTCTGGGCATCCCAGATGAGGAATATGGCCAGGATGCCCAGGTGTGTCCTCCCATCCCCCTACATCCTCCCCCTTCTTTATCCATACCCACACCTACACCCACACCTCCCACACCCACTCTGGGTTTCAGGGGGCAGGCAGGTCTGGGCACTGAGCTGGACAGGATCCCTTAATGCCACCAGTGAGCAATCAGGAGAGCCACCCATGCCCCGCCTCTTTCTCCAGCAATAACACCCACACCTCACTGGAAGGCCTCAGTGACTCCTGAGAGCCTTGAGCCTGTGGCCTTTATTCTGCAGACCAAAACCACAACCATGTCACTGCGAGACTGCCAGGTATGCGCACCCACTCCGCTGCATCCTCCTGGGTCCGGGAGTTGGTCCAGGGCCCAGCAGTCGGGAGCAAACCTGCTGCTGGTCACCCGGTCAGGACGGCTGGGGACCCAGTCCTGAGCATGCTGTGTCTCTGCAGCTGAGGGTGGGGGCGGGGGACCGCCAAGTTGTTCCCAGGCAGGGCACCAGAGAAAGCTCGTGCACTGGGCTTGGCTCCAGGAGGCGTTTCCTATGAAGCCACCCAGGACGGGGACCTTGCGTCCATTTTTCAGACGAGGAAGATGAAGGTGGGAGCAGACAGGCACCTAATTTCCAAGTCCTTGGAAGTGCAGCCCTGTGCTGGCCAGGACTCAAGGTCATGTCCCACACCCTAGGGAGACACTGGCCTGTGCACCCTGAAAGTCAGGACACTGAGGGCCGCTATTATAATCTGAAGGATTTCCAACCTGTCAGATTCCTCCCACACAGTGGGTGAGGACTGTTAGGTGTCGGCAGGGAGAACACACCTTGCTAGGCAGGTGACAAGCCAGACATCCTTTGAGATGCACACCCAGGGCCCACCTTCCCATCAGTCCTGGTAATGAGACTCCCACTTACTGTCTCCCATTTCCTGGCTGACACTTGGACTCACCTCGCTGGGTCCTCTTAGATATTTTACAGAGGGGTAACCAAGGGTTTGGGGGCTCAGCCCAGTAACACCCACTCACCCTCCCTTCCCCCGGTGTTCCTTCCCTATTGTGTAGGCGTGGAAGGATGCTGGTCTCCCGCTCTCAACCACAAGCAATGAAGCCTGCAAGCTGTTTGATGCCACCCTGACCCAGGTACACCCACCAAGAGACTCGTGTCCTCCTTGAAGGGTTCTGAGGAGGAATTTCGATTGGCGAATGGTCTGTAAATCCCATCACAGTAAAGATCTGCACTTTACCACCGAGATCCAACAACATGGGGAGTGTCTCTGCCGCCCCAGTGGCCCTTTCCCCAAGATCCCCAGTTCCAGGGTAGATAGCAATGGATGACTCCAGGGGTCTGAAAATACTCTGCCTCCACGGCTGCCCCACTGTGGCCTGCTGGGGTTTGTTGTGAGCTCTGCCCTGAAGACATGGGGTCCTGTCCTGAGGCTCATCTCCAGTTAGCTGGACCAAGACCTTCCACCCATTCCCAGGTTCTTCCACACCAGTGAAGAATCCTGTAGTTCAGGGACTTGGGGGCTTCTGGGAGAGGGGACAAGGTCTCAGAAGGAAGGTCAAGTGGCTTTTTTTTTCTAGGTGGGATAATGGAGGCTCAGAGAATTGAGCTGTCTTGAGTCAAATGTCACCCAGTCCATCGGAGGCAGAGCCAGGGTACACCTGAGTCTGCAGACAGAGAGAAACAAAGCTGCCTTTCCATCTCTGGTCTTTGTGTCTCTCACTGTAATGACCACGGGCCACGGTCTTTGTGCTTGTTTGGGTCACACACTGTAGCCCAGACTGGCCCGGAACTCAGCAAGCGTCCTGACTCAGTCCCCCTGTTGTTGGCATTATGGATGTGAGCCGCCATGCCTGGCTTACTGTGGTTATTTTTGAGAGAAATGAAGCAGGAATTGTGTAAGTGACTCCAGGGCTCTTCTTGGCGTGGAAGAAAGGGACATGCTGTACCTCATTTCTTGGAGAGGACCTCCTTTTTCCCCACAGTTCTTTTCTGGCAGTGGGCATTCCTGCCCTAGGAGGTGTCTCCTAATTCTGCGTATTCAATCTCATCTTAGAAGGCCAATTAAGTTATGCCTTCTTTGAATTAGAGTCCAGAAAATGCTCAGTGTTCTAGAAAGAAAAATAATTTAGATCTGTAACTTCTGCATTCATAGAGCCTACTTGAGACCCCGAGTTTGATATTCAGCACCCCTGACAGAAAAAAATTGGAGTTTATATACACCCCCTCATATAGTATAGGGCTCCATGAGGACAGACTTGTTTTTTGTTTTTGATTTTGTTTTTTTTTTTTTTATTTCTCACTCCAGTTTATCAAGTGGACCAATGACAAGAGTCTTGGTGGCATTGAGGGCTGCCTGTCAAAGCTCAAGGCAGCAGATCCAACCTTTGGTGAGTAAAGCTCTCCCTAGGTAAAGGAGCTCAGTTCACACGCCCTGACTCTAGAGACTCACATGGTTGGAGGGACACAGTGACTGGGCTGACACTTGCACAGAGGAGGGATGATGACAGCTGCTGTGGAACAACGGCTGCTCCCATGAGGATGCCATTTCCTCAGAAGGTTCTAGATCTTTTCTCTAACTATGATCAGTTTGACATGAGACATCATCCCCACTTCTTAGATGGGGAACCTGGGGCTCAGGGAAAGACAGACACCAACCTGAGTCTAGCCGGCTGGAAAGCCCAGAATCCTGGAACCCTAGAGATGGCTCCTGAGACCTTTGTCAGGGATCTCAGGACTCGGGACATCTCCAGAGCCACTGGAGCTGGGTGGAGATGGAAGACAGAGCCTGGCTCGTGGGCAACCCTTGTGTGTAGTGGGGCTGGGAGAGGTCAGTCCAGTACATTTCAGAATCCAAGATGGGTAGCCCAAGTGTGGGGTGAGGTTCCTGGCATTTGAGAAGACTTATAAAATGAAGATGAAGATGGCTGTTAGGGATATTCTTTTCTTTCTCTCTTTCTCTCTTTCTTTCTTACTTTCTCTCTCTCTCTCTCTCTCTCTCTCTCTCTCTCTCTCTCTCTCTTTCTTCTCTTTTTTTAAGATTTATTTATTATGTACAGTGTCTGTCTGTATGTACTCCTGCCTGCCAGGAGAGAGAACCAGATCTCATTATAGATGG